AGATCAATGAGGCCGTCATTCCTCTTAACGAGGACCAGGGTTGCGCTGCTCGTCCTGACGGTCTCTGCAAGCTGTCCGACTTTTATTCGCACCAGTGGAAGAACGCTCCCAAGGATGCCAAGTTTGACCTTGTTTGCTTCGGAAAGAATGGTACCGACTTTACAGTGACAGGTCCTGTTCGTAACGGCACTATTTAGTAAGGTAGTTAATTTGTTAGGTTTTGTGGTACGGTTCATGGTCTGTTCGCGGTGGAGGCCGTTCTGGCGCCTTTCGCTCCTTACTTCACGTGACCAAACCCGTGTTCCGATTTGGGCCGCCGGCAAAGTGGCTCTTACAACCGCTCATTCATCATGGTCGTTCAGCGCGCTGCTAAGCAGGCTACCAACTGGAAGAAGATGTGCGTGAGAATCAGGTTCTAACAGATCAGTATGCCCGTTGAGGTGTACCCCATTGTCCTCCTCACTGGTCTTGCCGTAGGCGTGGCTGGCTGGCAGATTGCCCGCTGTGCCCGCTCGCCTGACGTGATCTGGGACAAGAAGGTTTGTATTTCTGCCATGTCAACTTACTCCCCCAGAACAACCCGACCCCGTGGAACAACATTGAGCCTGGAACGCAGTACAAGCTTTGGAACATTGGCGTACGTATTCCGTGTTTGCTTACAGTTCTAGGGCACGTTCGACAAGACGTACAAGCGCGACCGCCTCTAAGTTAGCACAATACAGAATGAAATTCATCACTCATGGTGTTCCGCATTTGCTGTGATACTATGAAACTTTACGAAAAATCTAGTACACATATGGGATGATGCGATAAGGCACCCGCTTGCACTGTATATGAGTCAGGTCAGCGTTACGTACGTAAGTGTCCCAGCTGTGGTAGAAACGGGTCAGTACTCGCTCGTTCGCAGTGACGTACTCAGATCCATATTTCTTCTTGCATGCGTCATCGTCACGTAGCTGGCGATGCACCAACAGGACCGCAAAGTACACCACATAGAAGTAGGGGACGGGTGTACTAAAACCGCAAGGAAGACACCATGCCCAAGCCATAATCCAGTCGCCCAAGTAGTTGGGGTGACGGCTGCGGCCCCACCAGCCGGAAACAAGCAGCTTACGGCCGGTCGAGGTTGTCATGTACTGCAGGTCTGGGGGTAAGGTATTTCGGACGTACTCTTCGGGTTCTTGCCGTGCCGGAAATCATTCTTTTCAACATTGGATGTGCGGAAGATGTAGTAGCCGACTGACTGCACAGCCAGGATAGCCAGAATACCTAGCCATCCAAGCTTGACCGGCGAAAATGCAAGATAGCGCGCTTGCAAACTGTAGGTAAAGGGCAGCCATGCCAAATCCCCGACACTCAGCATGAATCCGAAGCCGTCGGTGGTGATATCCATCTGGGTTAGAATGGTAGATTCGTGAAGAAGCGAATCCACCACATACCATGCATGGAAAATGGTGACAAGAATCATGCTGTCAGAAACCTCACCAAATGTCTTCCATTGGTGGCATGCGCAACTCAGATCCAAGAACACCCAGAGCAACAGTCCAGGGCGAAGCTCATTGAAAGTCTTAATATCAAATTTGCCAATTCGTGGATTCAGCTCGCGACCAATGAACCAGTCAAAGAAGGGGTTGCCACTGTTTCCACCCAGCGCGAGCAGCTTGTCACCCATAAATGAACCTGCGTAAACGTAGAATGCTTGTACCAGTGAGTTTACGAAAGCCGCCGTCAAGAGACCTGGCCAATGATCATACAAGATAGAAAATAGACCAGGGCGTTTCATGATGATACCGGCAGCGACCCCTAGGGCTAGTGCACCAGTGGTCCAGGCGTTGATCTTATAATCTAGCCTAGCCCCCGTACGAAGAGGAAGACCTTTCACCCATTCACCCGGAAGAATGAACCAAGCAATCACACAGTAAGCATACCAGCCATGGTAAATAGCCCATGCAGTCTTGTCGGTAAAGCTTGCAATGAAGCTATCGCGCGCAAACTCCCACAACGCTTCCGGACGAGTGATCGGCAAGGATAAATCACATCCAAGCTCCTCGCTGCATCCGAATGCAAGGTAATACATGGTGAGAGGAACCGTAAGTGTCACAAAAAGAGCACCGAAGAAGCCTCCAAATTCGAGTTCCTTTGAGCGTGGTGCCAATACTTCTTTGCTCTGAGCTGATTTTGGTGCCATGATTTTGACTGAACAGGCGGAAGCAGTGTGGAGACCGAACCCTCCACAACCACACGGACCTGCACGGGGCAACCAACACGATGCGTGCGTGTTGGGTGCTTTTGCTAGCCTCGGCACTATGGTCCATACTTTCTCATGCTTTATCATTGGAGCAGCATCCATTTAGATATACAACTTCCAAAGCAACTGCTTCAAGCAACCAAGCCTTATCAGAGTGTCCAAGCACAAGTGCGCAACCTGTCCTTCGAGTTGCTATCATTGGGGCAGGCGTTTCAGGAACGAGTTCAGCCTACTTTTTATCAATGGCCCAAAAGAAACTGGATAAAATACGTATTAAGGGTATGGAAGGTTGCCCGAACTCCAGTTTCCCTGAACATATTTATATCACTGTATATGAGCGCACAGGCCGTGTTGGTGGACGCGTCTACAGCATCCATCCCCTCAATGATAGCAGTATTGCGCCCGTGGAGATTGGCGCTAGCATCTATGCAGACATGAACAGAAATCTAGTGCGTGCTGCCAAGGCCATGCACTTCGACTCAGTTCCTCGGGAAATGTTGCCGGGAAGCCGTTTGGGTCTCTGGGATGGGACAGAGTTTGTATTCGACAACTTTAAGGGAAGCAAATGGGACTACTGGAAACTATACTGGCGATATGGTTCCAGTCCACGAACACTCTTGGACTTGTGCGCAGACTAGTACTAACAACAGGTTGGATCGCGTCGCATCTCAGTTCCTACAAATTTATTCCCCTAAGTTCTTACACGATCGGAAGACAGCACAAAAAACCAAAACAGGATATCCTTGGTCATCCCTAGATGGATTCATTGATTCAATGAATCTCCGAGAGCTTGCCGAGCGGAATGCTCATACATACTTTGTTCAGAACAAAGTGTCTCCTCTTTTCGTGGAAGAAATGGTCAACGCGGCCACACGAGCGAATTATGCACAAGTCGTCGAACGAGTGCATGCGCTGGCAGGAATGGTATCTATGAAGGCGGCGAATGCATTTAGTATTCGAGGGGGTAATGAGCAGCTCTTTCAAAGGCTTTTTAACGAAAGTGGTGCATCTCTTAGGCTCAAAACACAGGGAGATGTGACAGGGATCATGCGCATGAGTCCCATGGAACACGACAAACGCACGGAATGGTGGGTAGGAACGCGTGATGGCCATGGCGAAGTCTATGACGCGGTGATTATTGCTACGCCATGGGATCAATCTTCGATCACTCTGTTGAACACAGAGAAACGAATCCCTCACATGCACTTCAAAACCATGCATGTAACGTTGGTCGTAACCGATGCTAGTCACGTTGACCCGACATACTTTGGTTACACTGGTTTGAAACGAACTCTACCACAGGCCATATTCACTACGAACCAGCACGGCAAGACTAACCCGGAAGTATGTATGATCCATTGACGCTCCAGTTTCTCTCTCTTACATATATCCGGCGAATATCTAAGGTATTCTACGCGGGAAAGAAGTGGCCCAAGCTCTATGTTGTAAAGATTTTTTCAGAGCAGGAACTTGCGGAAGAGCACATCCAAGCTATATTTGGGCGTGCTTCGGTACTTTGGATCTCTCAGCATGAATGGGCTGCCTACCCTGAACTTACCCCGACCAAACACTGGGGAAGTTTTGAGGTGGACGACAATTTGTTCTACACAAATTCCATGGAGCGCCTAGTGTCCACCATGGAAACCAGCATGATCGCTGCCAAAAATGTGGCTGCGCTCTTGCTCCAAAAATGGCTGGGGTTGCAGTTTGTGCACGGACGCGACTGCCGGTGGGATACTAGATCCACATCCCATGCATGGAATTCGTGGGGCTGCAAAGGTGGTTAGGACATAAAAGGATTGAGATAATGACTACGTTTTCTCCAGACTTAAAAGGTCGAGCGAGACACCTTCTCCAAGACAGTCTCATATGACACTTCACTGAAGTCGGTTCCCTGAATCTCGGTGGCGATGCCTACAAGGGCCTTGCGCAGAGCCTCCTTGGACGAAGCATAGAGCATCTTTTGCTTCACCTTCGAGTCATCGGGCGACCTGTTATCGCATGAGTATTATTATGCACGTACCAAGTGTAGAAGCAAATCTTGTTGCGCTTGCCCTCGTCACCCTTCTGGTACTCGAAATCGTAGATGGCATAGCGGCATTCCGCAGGAGGGAGCTCAGCGAGGAACTCATCGTAGTCCTGCGACTCGCTCGTCTTAGACACCACGATTTCAGTGTTGTCGGGCGAAAGAGAGAAGATGATGTACTTCGTCTTCTTGCCAAGCTTCAGCGACTGAAACTGCTCGAGACACTCTTGGCTAACTTTAACACCGGAAGACTGTAATAAGAATCACATGTTAGCGCCTTTCTTGATATGGAACTGAATCGGTACAACATACCATATGGTCGATCTGTGAGATGCGCGCTGCTGTCAGACCACCACAACCCGTTCCCGCCAGCAGGGCTCTCTCTCCACGTGATAACAACACCCTCCACGCGCGCTAAGATCTCTGCCCACAGCCTCAAGGTAGCGGCGCCATTGTGCACCGTGGCTATTCCTGAGGTGTTACGACAAACTTCTGCTATGCAAGTCTTATAGAGAGCAAAAGACATATGTCGTGCTGGTCCAGTCGGAGATCAAAAAATGTGGCTAGCCGGAATCGAACCGGCGTCTCATCGGTGTGTTGCGATTGGACCAGGCCAATTCCACAACGATACGTACTGACCACTATACTATAGCCACCAATCTAACACGCCGATCAGAATTTTGGGCTTATAAAGCACAACTAGGTTATATGCTTGGCAAGCAAAAGTGTGGCTAGCCGGAATCGAACCGGCGTCTCATCGGTATGTTGCGATTGGATTCCTCCAACTCCACAACGATACGTACTGACCACTATACTATAGCCACAAGGCTGATTAACCGATTGTAAGTAGCACATATAGGCCAAAGCCTTCATACAATTACCCGCTGGCATGCGGCAAACGCTGCTATCGAGGCACATGACTGGCTGTGTTTGCATTGACAGAACATGTGTGGCTCGGTTTTGCGTGGCAGGCGTAGCTTGCCCCGCCGGGGCCTCTCAGGCTTGTTCTTTACTCAGTCCCTTCAATCAGCTTACAACAGCTGCTGCCCCTATATACTGTACCTTTCCGTCTCTCTTAACGCCTGAGTATGACTGAACTACGTCGGAAGCTGGTCATCGTTGGTGATGGTGCCTGCGGTAAGACCTGTCTCCTGATTGTTTTCAGCAAGGTACGTGAACAGAGCGGGACAGGGCTGTCATTCAGCTCTCAACCGCATCTGGTGCATAAGGCAAATACTAACACTGTTTTTTCATGGTTCTTTTGATTTTAGGGTACTTTCCCCGAGGTATGTACAGCATTTTTACGGATCTGGCTAACAACCAGGTGTATGTGCCTACTGTCTTTGAGAACTACGTGGCCGATGTCGAAGTGGATGGTCGCCATGTTGAGCTTGCCTTGTGGGATACTGCCGGTCAGGAGGATTACGACCGATTGCGTCCTCTTTCCTACCCTGACTCTCATGTGATCCTTATCTGCTTTGCCATTGACTCACCCGACAGTCTCGACAATGTCCAAGAAAAGTGGATCTCGGAGGTGCTTCACTTCTGCCAAAACCTGCCCATCATTCTTGTCGGTTGCAAGAAAGATCTTCGTCATGACCCCAAGATCATTGAGGAACTTCGCAAGACCAGTCAGCGCCCCGTCACCCCCGAAGAAGGCATGGCTGTTGCTTCCAAGATCGGTGCTGTTCGCTACCTAGAGTGCAGTGCCAAGACTGGCGAAGGAGTCCGGGAGGTCTTTGAGCATGCTACTCGTGCTGCGCTTATACAGAAGCCCCGTGGCAGCCGGAGCAAGTCCAAGTGCCTGGTCCTCTAAACGGCTCAAACTAATATATATATATAAGCTCTATGCTTGACCCACATGCTTTCCAGGCTCTTGCTTCCACTCTGTCTATTCTGTGATGACTATTCCTCTCTGGATATAACGAAGTGGACAGGCTTGGCTCCTGTAGTCCTTTCTGACATCCGTCTAAGTATTCCTCATTACCCTGTGGTATCATATCACAACGTTTAGACAATCCTGCTCACGAGGGCCATTTCTGTGGGACGTGCCGTGACCCGGTCGCGTTTGCCACCGGTGTCGCACAAACATAGAGGCCACGTGTTAGATCTGGCATGCGGAGGTAGAGACACGTTCCCCTAATTTCTCAACACAAGCTCTAGATGTCGCTACTGCCCTTGGGATGGGCCCCGCGGGCTATGCGGTCTCGAAAGCCCATCGTGCTTTTGTGTGCAGTCATACTTTTCTTGCTAGTGCTGGTTCCGTGGCAGCTACATTCGAATGTGCGCACCATACTCCGCAACACAGCGTCAGAGATTCGCCAAGAGGTGGCTTGGCCGGCCGCTCCGTTTGCGAAACTGTCACCACACATGCCTAAACAAACAAGTGCCAGGGTGCCTCCAAAGCTTCATGAAAATCCCTTGCTTACGACTAGGTGCGATGCGCAACTCATGCCAGGTGCGCATCCAATTGTCCAATATGCTATCATGATGGATGCAGGTAGCACTGGAAGCCGCATCCATGTGTACAAGTTCAACTACTGCCATTCTTCGCCCGAGTTGGAGTTCGAGCATTTCGACCATGTGGAACCTGGCCTTTCGTCGTATGGCGCTGATGCCGGCCGCGCTGCTGACTCGCTTCGTCCGTTACTGGACAAGGCGAAACAGATTATCCCTTCTGAGCTTCAGAGATGCACCCCTATCAGCTTAAAAGCCACTGCGGGACTGAGGCTGCTCGGTTCCCAACAAAGCAGTGCCATTATTACTTCTGTGCGCCATCTCATTGAGAAAGAATACCCCTTCCCCATCGCGGACGGGAAAGACGAGCTTGGAAACGCCGTTAGCAATGGCGTCGAAATTATGGATGGCCGTGACGAAGGTGTGTTTGCGTGGATCACTGTGAACTACCTGCTAAATCTGATCGGCTCTGGTCGCCGCTCGCCGACGGCCGCGGTCATGGACCTTGGTGGTGGGTCGACACAGATTGTCTTTGAGCCCTCTCTGCCCAAGATGACACACATGCACCCAGGAGAACATGTGTATCAGCTGCGAAACTTTAGCAATACCACCTACACTCTGTATCAAAAGTCCTATCTCGGCTATGGTCTGAAGCAGGCGCGCCAGTCGACCAACTCGCTGGCCACATTTGCGCATCTGATGAAGCATGCAGAGACTGCCCATTCAGGCCTTACGCCTTCGAGCTGGGAGGCGTTCAGCGCGGAAAACACCCACATACCCAGTCCGTGCTATGCCGAGGGCATGAAGAAGGCAGCAAAGGTATCCACAGGCATGTCACAAGCACGCGAGGTCACTATGCGAGGCACTAGCAGCGGATTCCGTGCATGCCAGCGTCTTGTGGAGCTAATGATGGACAAAGACGCCGAGTGCCAACAGGCCCCCTGCTCGTTTGCGGGCGTGTACCAGCCGCCGCTGTCGCAAGTGTTCAAACATGCGGACATCGTTGCCTTGTCGTACTTTTACGATCGCCTGACGCCCCTGGGTCTTGGGCCTACCTTTACTGTGAAGGAGTTGGAGCAGCTTGCTGAGCGTGTGTGCGCTTCGCCGCGTGAGTGGACCAAATTTACATCGCCATCCTTCTCGTCCGAAGCACTATCTGAGCTGGAGCAGCGGGCAGATTACTGCCTTGATCTCACATACATTCATTCTCTATTACGACTAGGGTATGAACTCGAAGACTCGCGACGCATCACACTTGCCAAGAAAATTGGTGGTTTTGAACTAGGCTGGGCCCTAGGAGCTCAGCTGGCTGTGCTCTCTGGTGGTTTTATTTGTAAGTAGTTACTAGGACTTTCGGGCACGCATCCGGGCTTCTGTCGCAGCTAGAACGGCCGCGCGATCAGGGCGGTCGGGCACTTTCGCGACCGACGTCGTCTTGCCAGATGGGCGTCGTGTAGAGCCTGTGCCGTGCGACATGAGGGATACACGGAGCTTGCCGTCCACTAGTTTGCGGAACATGCGAGGCGTTTGAAAGAAAGGCGACATGTATCTGGCGAACCATGCGAGCCATACAAGATCCGGTCGGCGCCGACTCATACGTGGCGCATCGCGGCCAAAGTACCAAGCGTATCCAGCCACAACACCCGTAAGACTTGTTATCATAGACTCTGTACCATTGATGATGAGGTCAATGGCCAGCATAACGAAGGCAAGGTACTTGCCTGGGATGCTGATCAGGCCCATCACCGCTATCGGGGCCTCGGGCAAATGCACAGCCCACTGTGCCTGACTGTGAGTCGAATGTACATACCGTCAAAGCGCCCGTTAGTGACGAAAAAAGAAAAGGGCGGAGATAGGGGGCGTTCATGAGCTGCTGGTGAGTAGTGCGTACATACCAAAATCATGGACGCCATACCCAGGAGGGACCAGGAGTAATCGGCCACGTTGTTATAGTATCCATATGCCTCAATTTTCGTCGCGGAATTGCTGTTTGTGAGTGAGTGCCACATACTACATGAAAATGGTGTTGTAGAGCATGGGGAATCCAGTACCCGCATAGAAGAAGGCGGTTACGATACGCCACAGCTGCCATCGCCTTGTGACAAGAGGCCAAAGCAGCGCCACCTGATACGGCGCAACCATTTGTAAGGCACAAGGAATGGTCACAACGGCCGTGCCCATGAGCAGTGCTCGAGATACCGACGGCATTTCGCGCCTGTACGTCAGTCATCACCTCTTACCAGAGGTCCATCGTGGCGAAGGGATCCGTGGCAAGTGGAGGCTCCACGGTGTCCTTATGTCTGACGTGGTGCGGAGCTTTCGACTGACGCGCGTCTTGCACGAAGGTACGGAGCGGCATACTTATAAAAGATGCGCGATCCCGAGTGGTGAATCTGCTAGGCACATGCACACATGATGGCGAAGAAAAGATGGCGCTACTCTTGATGGAGAAGACGCATTTCTCGCCGCAATTCCTCGCTACGATCGAGACAGGTCTATCGAATGCCCTTTCTCGAATGGAGAGCATTGGTCAAAATGACATTTACACCTGGGTATTTGGATGGCAAACTGTGGCTGAGGACGAACAGGCGCACATGAAAATGACGCTCATCTGCCCCGCCACCGACGAACTGATTGCTAAGTACTCAACGCCGAATCGTCGCATGATCTTAGAAACTCCCCAGATGTACAAAACTGTCACAAAGCCATGGATTGACTCGCTTCCCGCATCCAAAACAGCGTGGGTGCGCAACATTCTACAGGGTGTCTCGGAGCAGGGATCGATCTTATACAGCGACGAGGATCCCAAGTCGGGCTTTGTGCTCTTGCCAGATATGAAATGGGACCGTCGCTCTCTCTCCTCTCTGTATCTTGTAGCGATTGTGCGTGACGACTCGCTCAAGACCATGCGTGATTTGACCAAGGAGCACATCCCCCTTCTCCGCAAGATCCAGATGGCTGGCACGCAAGTTGCTCGAGACAATTTTGGACTTTCTTCTGCCAGTGCAGATGGGTCAGCGACACCACTGCGGTGCTATTTGCACTATATGCCGACCTACTTTCACTTGCACGTCCATCTGCTCTCGGCGAACTTTACGACACACCCTGGCGCCCTTGTGGGCCAAGCTCATTTGCTTGAAGATGTGATCAGCCTGCTGGATCTGGGGGTGGCCTTTACAGATCGTACTATGGGGTATGCTATGTCGGATGGGCACCCGCTGCTGCAGGCTTTGCACAATGCGGGGTATGCACTGTAGCCAGGCATGGCTCTAAGTAAAACTATTCACCTATTCTTGACACGGAAGACCCTATAACTCAGTCGGTTAGAGTGTGGAGCTAATACGATCGTGTTACTCCAAAGTCGCCA